ATGCCGCCCTTCACCCTACCTCCTGTTACATTTACAGTCCCTACAGAAAGGTGCAGAGAGCTTTTGAGGACAGAAAAAGATTGAGAAGGGAAGGGTTAAGCCTTTTGCTATAACAACAACTAGAGCTTCTGTGTTTGGTTTCTCTAACCCAGGCTCCAAATGGGATTTCTAGCCCAGAGCTTGCAGACTGATCTGTGGTTGTGAAATGAGCAGACCCCAATGATATTGGGGCACTCTCACCCTAAACGCTTGTGTTTTCATGTTCTCCCATTTTTCAGGCTCTGGGAGCCAGACAACCAGAAAATACTTCTTCCTTTGAGCTTTACGCTTTAGCGTGTGTCAGGAAATTATTGCTTGGCGATCTTGAGTTTCAATCATATTTGTTTTGATTACAAAGGAGCTGGAAATGCCCTAACTCGGCTCATAAGACCTGGAAGAGCCACAGTTGGTACTTCCTTCTTTGATCTGGTGCCAACTCTGAGGAAGAAAGCCCTGGTGGTGCTCACCTCCAAATCTCTTGTCTGCTGAGTTGAGAGTATGAAGAAGCTGAGTGAGCCAGGAATGGCAGGTGTCACTCCTGACTGACTCACAGGCAATTTTCTCAATGAGGCAACCAGTGCCTTGGGCCTTTCAGCTAAAGTTTATTCTTAAGGAGAAAGCAGTGAATGAAAATGGGTGTGTGCTTTTTGAGGGTGGTTCTACAAGCTTTGGTCTCTGTGTAGAAGCTGAGGATCTGACCAGCAGCATTAGCATACCACACAGATCCCAAATCATGTATTGCTTGGAAGACATGTCTCCATAGCCTCTCTACTGTCGGTGATCAAGTAGTTAAAGGTTAGGTAATCAACTAGATGCTGGTTAACATTGTAGGTGGAAAATGACCAACTCTTTTCATAACTTTATGTGCTTATAGGAAGATAATATTACTTGATAATATTGGCTTGAATCAGTCAATTTTCTCAGGATTTCCAAATAAAATAAAATCTCCTGGGGATTTTCATCCTTCCATCCTCCCAAGGGAAATGTAATGACTTCACCATGAGCTATTATATCTGGGTGGGTTCCTTGCCCTTCATAATAGAGATTGCATGGAATTTGGGGGGGGGATCTAAAATTTAAACAGATTTTAGTACTCTTGCTTTTTCCTTTCAAAGTGTCTGTGTTCTTTGAATGTGTTTTACAGGTGTGTAAAATAATCTGATTTTCAGCTTTATCTTCAAAACCCATTTTTAATTATAAGAGGTCCTTATTTGCGCTTTGAAATGCCTTTCTGGTGTTGAAATTCCATGGGAATATTCTGACAGTTGATTCCTTCACAACTCTTTTGGAATGGGGAAATAATTCTGAATATTGTGGAGGAAATTATACATGAAAAACACTACGTCATATCAGGACCTGTAGTGATACCTTGAAGAATCTCTCTGCTTTCTGAGGATTAAGGACTATTATTAATGTTTTAAAAAACTTCAGACTTTTTTCTATTCTTCTGGTTGCAAAGAAAGTATTT